ATGGAGGACAAGATGCTTCAGGGTCTTCACATCTCATGTAAGAGGTAATGCTCACCCCACATAGCTGCTGTGAAAACTAAATGAGGAGCCGAGTGTGATGGTAATCCCAGCAGCTTGGGAGGCTGAGGCAGGAGGATCGTGAGTTCAAAGCCAGCCTCAGCAACTTAGCAAGGCCCCAAGAAACTCTGTGAGACCCTGTCTCTAAGTAAGATATTTAAAAGTGCTGGGATGTGGCTCAGTGGTAAAGCACCCTTGGGTTTCAAATTGGTATCCACCCCTCCGCCAAAAAAAAAAAAAAAAAAAAAACATTAAATGAGTCTGGACACAAACACAGGGGAAGTCTAGGGAGGAGTTGACAGTGCTGCCCCTCTTCCCTGGTGTGGCCTACCACCCCTTCCTCCATCCACGGCTTTGCTCAAACTTTCTGGTGCTTCAACAGAGGATTCTCATTTGGGGAACTTTGAGGCATCTGGATCTGTCTGGAGGGAAGATACAGAAGGGAAAGTCCACTGGAGTTGGCTAAAAAACAGGTTCTGAGAGAGCTCTGGCCCTGAGCACATTTCTCAACTTGTTGAGGCTTCCACCRTGAAATGGGAAGGTCAGAGTGGAAGGTCTCAAGAACCTTGACCTCAGTCCTCTGATGTAAAGGTATTGAGAGGTCTGGCCTTGACTCCCGGGGTCTCAGGGTGAGTTTGCCTAATGCTGCATATCAAGATGCCACAAAAGCACCAACTAAAATCCTGGGGCTCTTCCCTGCCATCTCTACTCAGTGGTTTGTAAATCAGCAWGGAGCTGCTCTGAAGCGCACAGGATCAGAGCAGAGGCTCCACCTGCCTGACGGGGGGACCTCCACCTCACCCCACAGGGCTCTGCACTTGCCTACACATCCCTGGGCGCCACTTCCCACTGAGTTGTCTATAAAGTGTGGCTAAAAATTCAAAAAGTGGGCTGTTGTTTCTTTTTACTTTTTTTTTTTTTTTTTTTTTTTAAAGACAAGGTCTCATTGAGTTGCTTAGGGCCTCACCAAGTTGCTGATTTGAACCTGCAACCCTCCTGCCTCAGCTTCCCAGGCCCCTGGATTAGAGGCGTGTGGACTGTCATTTCTTCAGACAGACTCCCAACATGTTGATAACTTATTTCTCCAAAGCAGGCCAAGATTGTGCAGGGAGAGCTCATTAATAAGCAGGACCGCACCCCCTCAGCCCTCCCGACACACCCCCAAGCCAGCCAGTCCTGCCTACAGCACTCAGGTGCCCCTCACCAAGGCTGTCTGTGGTGACACCAAGAGCACGAAGCTCACCCCCGGGCCCTCCCACTCAGCTTGGTGCCACCTCAGAATTCCTGTTCCAAAATTCACAAAACCAGGAGGGTGTTGCCTTGATGACCCACTGTGAAGCTAAACAAGGCGATACACGGAACATGTGAGGTTCTGGCCTAACATTGCCATGGCTTCCTTCCTGAAAGTGAAAAAGTGGTGTGACTCCCAGGTGCTAACTTAACTTTTTTAAAAAACATCTTTATTGAAATATCATGCACATAGCTTAAAATTCATCCAGTTAAAGTATACAACAGTGGGTTTTGGTAGTTTCACAGAGGTGTGCACATGTCACCACAGCCAATTTCAAAACATCTCCAGACACCCCCCCATCTAGAGCGACCAGCTGCATTTGCGCGGCCCCCCACTCACCAGTCCTAAGCGCCTAGCAGGACACCTGCTGTCTGCAGACGCGTCTCTCCTGGAGTTTATATAAATGACATCACCGCTGTCTCTCATGGTGGCACTCTTCCACCTCCACGCCTCCGAGGCTGCCCTCGCTGCCGCAGTGCTGGCACTTCCTCCTCCATGGGACRTTTCATGGTGGGCCACGTTCTGCTCATCCCGCCATCCCCAGTGGACATCGGGGCTTCTGGCTTTGGGGAATGATGCTGCCATGAACATTTTTTCTAGACAGTTTTCAATTCTCGTGGGGACACCTACCCCAGGAAATGTGTCAAGTGGCGCTGGTGGGTCACGAGGTGACTGCGTGTCCTTCTRAGGAGCCRCCAGACCCTCTGCTGAAGCAGCTGYACCMTTCTGCATTCCCACCAGTGAGGAGGAGCCTYCAATTCCCCACCTCTTGGACACCACTATTGCTATCTCTCATTTTGATTATGGCCAGAAATAAAGTAGAAACTTGGTGTTTATTAAATAAATTCTATCTTTTAAAATTCACATGCAGCCTAATATTGAAGCTATACAGAAAGAAGGAAATTCAAGTTATAAAAATGATGAAGACAGAAATGCCCTCTGGAAGGTGGAGGTGACCAGCAYCTGGGAGCCGATGGCTCTGCCGGGGGACGCAGGCGCGGTGTGTGTGGTGTGCTGGCTTTGTGATGTGCAGGGCCTGGTGCYGGGTATGGGGGACACTGGCTGGGCTTAGAAAAGGGCACCAGGCCTCCTTCTTYCCTCCTAATGCTCTTGTTCCCTTTGGTTCACATGTGACCTTCTGGATCCTAAAGGGAMGTTCTTTCCCAAGTAACCCAACCTGTGGTACTCGTGACAAAGCTCCTAAGTTCAGCAGTCAACCAATCAACCAGTGAGGGTCCTKCTCTACCTTCCCCCTGGGCAAAACCTACGGCCTGACGATCATCTGTCACACAGGACAGGGTTGCTGTCCGCCAACGGAGGAACTCAGGTAACTTCCCTTCTTCTGTACCTTGGCAGCCCTCAGAGCAGTGCCCAGGTGCTTCAGGGAGAAAGCCGYTTTCACAGAACTGCACTCCAACTTCCTAAAGGTCATTGCCAGTCCCCACCTTCACACAGAAGCACTTAAAGCCCCCCCCAGGAGGGCCACAGCTAATTTTAGCTGAAGGATTATAAGAGGAATGCCTGGAATCACCCAGAACTTTTTGGTGTCTGTCCCCTCAGGCCAGGTGAGCAGTGGAGWTTTACCACCCACCAACTCAGTAACCCAACACCAGCAAGGGGTGGAGTGCTTGGGAACCTCATGCCTGCCTAAGGCACCTGCAAAGAGAAAACCAAAAATGAAGAAAAATTATAGGGAGGTTGGTGGAGGGGCCGGGGMCCACGGGGTAAAGGGCACTGTGGGCTGGCCCTCCCACTCTGCGGGGAGAGAGGCTTGTGCCTTGATCATGGTCTTTTTTTTTTTTTTCTTTTAGTTGCAGTTGGACACAATTATTTATTTATTTATTTATTTATATGTGGTGCTGAGAATTGAACCCAGGGCTCTGTACCCGCTCGGTGAGCACTCTACCGCTGAGCCACAACCCCAGCCCATTGATCATGGTTTTATGAGAACAAGTCTAGCAGGTGCGGGGCAGGGAAGAGGGGGTTCCCCTGGAAACAGTGGTTTTACCCTGTGGGCCAGAGATCACCCCACAGAGGCCAGAGTACTTGACAGAGGTCTGCGATTTCATATATATGCCAAGCACRGCCTTCAAGATAAAAGTCTTACACTACCATTCTTCAAATAAATGCAGATCAGTTGTAGCTGATAAAAAGTATCTTTCAATTATGAATGTGTCTGAGAAGTTGCTTTTTGTCATTGTATGTTTCTTTTCCTAATGACCCAGCAAATAATTACCAAGCATTATTTGCAAAGTTTTTAAGCTTTAGGAGGGCTTTCACTTTGAAAGGTATAAAGGAAGTGATRTATTAGGTCCAAAAGATCCCCCAGTAGTGACAGAAGAAAAAATTCTGGAATAACACAGGAGTCAGCAAACTTCAGCCCACTGCCCATCTTTCTGAATAGTTTTCTAGGAGCACAGCCACGCAATTTGCTTACACATTGATCTACATCTRCTTTGCAGTAGAGTTGATCCTGAAAGCTTAAAACGTTTACCATTTTGCCCACTAAAGAGGGAGTGTTCTGACCCCCAGTACAGTGGATCATGGAATATACCACAGCCATTACAAAACAAAATTAACACAAACTGTAWACGCAATCAGGGAAATAGGTTCAAAACGGAATCCTGAAAATGTTGACCTCTGCCCGCCTCCCGAGGAGGAAGCCATTCGCTTGGTTTTGCCGAGTTCCACAGGAGAAGGAATTGGCACTCTGGGGAAGGAACACTGGAGGGAAGAGAACAGGACTGAGTGGAGTGTCTGCTGGGGCGTCCCCCGCACAGGCCACGCCACACCTCCGTGAACCCTGGCTCTCCAACTGACACCGGAAGGCCCATAAGGCCAAAGACAAAGAGCTCTGGGGGCATACTCCCTTCTCCCCCCCTGGACCTAAAAGATATTAAAAAATAAAACCAAAAGTAAGGATAGGGACCAACTGTCCCCCACTGAGCCCCAGGATCAAGTAGACACCCCACTGAGGCACAGCTACACAGCAGCTCCCCCTGTGAAGGCCTGCCCAGGAGAGATGGCGAGGAAGACGGACAGCTGCAGGCCAGCCAGACATCCTCCTGATTACTCCCAAGTAAGCCTGCCTCAGTCATCAGGGGCCAGGAGCAGATGTGGGGGGGGTCTGTCCTCCTGGAGACCCTGCCTGGCCCTCAGGAAGGCTTCTCAACACCCACCCAGTGCTTCCAYACACAGAAGGCCTGAGGAACCCTGGCTGGGACCCACGGCTGTTTCGCACCCCCACACCCGCCACCAACTTGCCCCTTAACCTGATGGTATCAGAGCATCTTAAAAGCACAACTTCTTGGCCTCTTCCCTCYGCTGAGTCAGAACAAAGCAAGACACACAGTGACGACCACACACAGAGCCGGAGTCCGGGCTGGCTCCAGCATAGCTCCAGCTCCCTCAGGCCCTCCCCGCCCTCTCCCCTTGGCACTGCTGTTTATTTTGTAGTGGATGAAAGGTACCACTCAGATGGCGCATGTGTCTTCACTCACAGCTCCCGTTCCCAGAACTCTTCTGCCCCTGCAGATGTGCTCCACACCCCAGGAGCAGCCCCCTGAACACCTGATCTTAAAAGCTCAGTGTTTCCAGGGGAAGGACTAAGGGCATGGGCTAGAATACAAACCACTCAGAGACTGCAAACAGCTGAGAGAAAATCCGTTTAATCCAACTTGGTTTAAAAATGCTTAAGTCACACCCACCACAGGAGGCGACCCCAGGCSTTCGGGGGAGGCCAGGTAAGTGACRTGCAGGCTGGCRAGGGTCTCAGCGGAGGCCTGGAGGACCTTCAGCTCTTCCCGCCACAGTGTTTCCACCAAAGCCAGCTGGCTTACCAAAGACACCTTTTCATCCTTCATGTGAGAAACCTGAAAGTGAGTTTTGAATTATTTTTTACTATAGTAAAATAGAACATAAAATTTGCCACTTCAGCCATTTTTAGGCGTATAGTTCAGTGGCACTGCGTGATTCCCAGTGTTGTACAACCAACACTACTATCCCCTCCGACTCTCTGCCACCCAGACATATCCTGTGACCACACATTGACATCCTTAATCCTGGCTCCCAAAAGCCCCTGGTAACCTGCACTCTACTCTGTCACTCTGGATTTTGCCTGTTSTGAATACCGTATGGAAGTAGAACCTACATATATCCTTTTGTGTCTGACTTTTTTCAGTTAGCATAATGTCTTCAAGGTTCCTTAAAATTGCTTTTTATAATCCCAGTCACATTTTCATATAAATGAGCTGATTTCTCATTTACTTAAAATACTAAGTTAAAACATAAAAGAAAACCTATTAGTAAGAAATCATGTGATCAATTTTTACCTATTTAAATRTACAGGCATAGACACTGAATCCGTTTGAGTGCCCATTACAGACAAATGGWTAAAGAAAACATGGAGTATGTACACAATGGAACACTACTCRGCCTTAAAAAAAGGTGCATATCCTGGGGGCTGGAGTTGTAGCTCAGCAGTAGAGCACCTGCCTTGGACACATGGCACTGTGTTTGATTCCCAGCACCACATATAAATAAGCAAATAAAATAAAGGACTATCAATAACTAAAAAAAAAAATTTTTAAGGTGAATATCCTGTCATTTGTGACAACGCAGACAAACATTACACTAAATGAAAGACATTATGTTAAATGAAATAAGCCAGGAATAGAAWGACAAAAATTATAAGTTCTTGTTATATGTGGATAGAAAAAAGTTGAACACAGAAAAAGAGGAGAATGGTGTCAGAAGATGCTAGAAGTGAGGGACGGGGGAGAYACTGGTCAAGGGATACAACACCCAAGCTAAACAAGAGTAGGCTCCAGAGACCTTCAAAGTCACCTAGCAAAGATCAGAGATCTACTGTACAGCATGCTGACTGCAGTTACTAACAGTATGCATCCTTGAAAATTGCTAAGAAAGGCTGGGGATGTGGCTCAAGYGGTAGCGCGCTCGCCTGACATGCATGCGGCCCGGGTTGGATCCTCAGCACCACATACAAAAATGTGTCCGCCAAAAACTGAAAAATAAATATTAAAAAAATTCTCTCTCCCTCTCTCTCTCTCTTAAAAAAAAAAGAAAAAAGAAAAAGAAAACTGCTAAGGAATTAAATTTTAAAGAGTCTCACAACCAAAAAAAAGTATGAGATGATGTATATGTTAAATAGCTTGATTAAGGCATTCCTATATGTATATGTGTGTGTGTGTGTGTGTGTGTGTGTCTATATATATATATAAGAATATCTCAAAACATCATGTAGTACAACATAAATATATGCAATTTTTAATCTGTCAATTAAAAGGGAAAATTTTAAAGGCGTAGGTACAAAATCAACAGTAAAATCTAGCATTTACAACATTTTTTTAAAAACTTATTTTTTAGTTGTAGTTGGACACAATATCTTTATTTTATTTATTTATATGTGGTRCTGAGGATCAAACCCAGGGCCTTGCATGTGCAAAAGGTGAGGGCTCTACCGCTGAGCCACAACCCCAGCCCTAGAATTTACAACATTTAAGACACTAAAAAGTGCTCTTAAAAAGATCTACTGTCGGGCTGGGATTGTAGTTCAGTGGTAGAGCCTAGCACACATGAGGCACTGGGTTTGATCCTCAACACCACATTAAAAAAAAAGAAAAAAGAAATAAAGAAAGATATTGTGTCCACCCACAACTAAAAAATAAATATTTTTTTTAAAAAAAGATCTACTGTCTTTAATAACATGTATAAGACAAATAACTTCACAGTCACAATGCTTAAGAAAAGGATGTCATATTCTAGAAACATACCCTCTGAAGCATAGCAGAACTCTCCTCTAGGAGATGATGGCATATTTTCTGGGCTACATCCAAACTTGTCTTCTCATTTGCATCTGAAATTACTTCTCCAAGAAGAACTTTTTTCCAGCACGTACTAGAACCAAAATGTTCAATAAAGTAATTTCAGCAGGCTCTTRAGAAATAAAGAGCTTTCACACTGCAAACAACAAACTCCCCTCCGATTCTTCCAGAGCATAATTAAACTCCTTCTATAAGCAGCTTCCCTAAAACCTTCACACCATGGGCAGTTCCCGTGTGGAAGCAACAAGGTGCACAAAAAGGAGCAGCCAGGAAGAAAAGGCAGGGGACTGTGTGCTCCTTGCTGGCTGCGAGCAGATGTTACCATCATCACAACCCTGTGTCTGGGACACGGTAAGTGGAGTCGTGGCCACTAGCCAAGGGAATAAAGCAGGAGACAGAGAAGGAAGGGAGTGACAGGATAGGGAGCCAGGTCCACAGCAGAAAGGCCAGAGGACTTGGGAGCTAAGGCACTGGAGTYGTCCTACTCTTCAAGTGACAGTCTTTCTTGCCRGGTGACAACTTGGAACRCACTTCACAAAGCAAAATGCTCAACAGGTACAGCCACAGCTTTCTYTATGTGAAAGCCACTCTGCTTAGACACTCTGCAGGTCTGCAGGAGTGGAGCTCGGTGGGCAGGTGGGGCTCACTTTCTGAAGGCAGAAGAGTGTAGGTGAGCTGGGGCAGGACACTGAGCCGGAAGGGGGCAGAGCCAAGGCCACACGTGAGGAAGGAGCACCATCAGGAAGASAGGGGATGGAGGGGCTGACTGGGAAGCAGAGATTCTGGAGAATCGGCTGACAAGAGAAGGTAAGAGCRTGCAACGTGCAAGTGGACGTAGACACAGCCAGCTAGAAACTCARAACAGCAACAAGACCCGACAGGGAAGAGTCGTGATGTCTGCAGAGTCAAGAGACAAGGCTGCGCCTCAGGAACAGAGTGCTTGTGACAGAAAGCAGAAAATTACCATGTGCCTGGACAGTGTCCCGTGCATGACCACTACCTAATGTAATCTTCACAATTACCTAACCCAAGGGAAGTGAGAACTGGCCGGACAGAACAAGAGGGTGGGAGGCAACCAGCTAGCAAACCCCCAACAGGCAGAAACCCACCACCTACTTTTCCTGCACCCGACCCAGAAGTGACTCTGAGGGAAGAAAAGAGGCCTAAGGATGACCTCTGGAAAATGTCCAGTTGCTTTAACTTTAGGCTGAAGTGCCTGAAAAGGTCTCATATCTGGCTTGTTCTGAGAAGGATTTAAAAACACTTGCATGGTGACAACTTGGAACGCACTTCACAMAGCAAAATACTTTTGCATGGGTCTGCACAAAACAAAATAATGTAAAACAAACTAATGGGAAGAACAARTCAARGGAAAAAATAAAGAGGAAAAATACAGTATTGTCAGGAATGAATCAGGATGCCTGTACATTTGGGAGGACCACAAATATTCCCAAGCTTTCTTTTATAATGAAAAGAAGGAAACATATCAGTAACAGAACACACCATCYGCTGAGAGTGAAAACACCTACAGCTGACCCTTGACCAACTCAGGAGCTGACAGTGCTGACACACAATTAAAAATCCACATGTATTTTTTTTGGTACCAGGGATTGAACCCAGGGGCATTTAACCACTGAACTGTATCCCCAGCCCTTTTTAATTTTTATTTTGAGATAGGGTCTCTTTAAGTTGCTTAGAGCCTCACTAAGTTGTTGAGGCTGGCTTCAAACTTCTGATCCTCCTGACCCAACCTCCCAAGTTGCTGGGATTACAGGTGCCACTGTCCCAGCCACAGATAACTGCTGACTCCCCCAAAATTTAACTACTACTAGCCTGCTGGTGACTGCAAGCCTGAACAATAATATAATTGATTAATACATATGTTGTGTGCTGTGTGTATCATATACGGCGGAAAACACACAAGGGCTGGGAAAAATGGCTTTTACTGTGATACATAACTTACTGCAGAGACAAATGCTMAGGCAGAGATGATCAGCAGAGTTTTAAGCAGACATTCCAAACACCACAACAGCAACAGGAGGGACACAAAGGTATTACAGTAGCACAATATTCACTACACTGAATTTTATGCAGTTACAATTTAAAACTGCATCTTTCTGATATGTTTGTGCATAAATTTTGATAAAATTTAACTTTCTGTATATTTATGGTGGCAAATGATAAAATGGACTATTATCTATACATATTTGATGTTTTCATGACATAGCTAACTTTTTCTTAATTTTTAAAGTAGTTGTAGGCTATGCAATTCATCTGCAAGGTTTTTCAAATTACTGCAAATTTCCAAAAAATTCCATGAATAAGGACATGCACTGTGCAAATCTGTGCTGCCCTTGGTTGAGATCATCTATTTCCCAAGTTCCTACAGGAAGAGAAGAAGGCAGCATCATGCACAGCAGGCAGCACTGAGTGAGCACCAACTACATCCAGCACCGTGCTAAGAGCAATTTCTAAGCATTATTCATTTACTCCTCAGGCCTCACTGTCTTCAAGAAGTCCTCCCTCCATGCAGGGCAGCAGCAAGATGAAGGCTGCTTCCCTGAGGAGGCCCCAGGCTGCAGCAGCCCTGTGCTAGGCAGAGCACACCCAAAGGTGCTGACAGGAGGCTGCTGCGAGTGGCACTGACAGCTTCACAGGATTGTGAGGGAGCCTGCCGGGGCTCCTCCACCTGTGTCCCCATGGAAAACCCCAGGGCTCTCCTAACATAGCTTCTGGGTCTGCCCTGGCAACTGACAGGCAGGGCTGTGTGAGGAGCTCTGCTGCTCCCAGGAAAAGCAGACCTACTCTGAGTCTTGATGCTGAATGGTGACMCTGCTCACAAAAGCCATCAGGTCACCAGAAGAGAAACACAAGAGTTGAGAATGAAAACTTCCAGAGCCATGTACGTGATTATGACTCTAAAACCAGAATCCAGAAATGGTTGAAACGGTAAAATTCGCCCTGGATGAATCAGTTACATACAGAATGGCCTTTCTTTTTTCTCTGTTTGGGTATTTAAATAAAAGCCAACACCCCCAAATTGTGTCTAGGTTGTGACTACAACTTCAGACCAATACACGTGGAACTTACAATTTTTCAGCTTCCAGACATAACAACTTAAGAGCTGTGAGTAACCTCCAAGATGGCCCATCCCATCCAAATGTCAAATTTCTAAAGTAGAAAAACAAAGACATTTCTGTCATTTCAGTATTTCATGACACCATGACAAATGGTTGATAAGCCAAACATTTTTTAGAGCATTTTTTAGAACATTGTTACCTATGATGTTGGTCAAAACAATACTTAAGAATAAATACTTAAGAGTACTTAAGAATAAATTCTAAGAAACAAAAAATTCTCTTTTTAAATTTTTTTAAAGAATAAAAAGCTGCCAGCACTCATCTGTAATCCCAGCAGCTCAGGAGGTTGAGGCGGGAGGATCGAAAGTTTGTGGCTAGTCTCAGCAATTTAGCTAAGCTGTAAGCAACTTATTGAGACCTTGTTTCAAAATAAAAAATAAAAAAGGTCTAGGGATGTGGCTCAGTAGTTAAGCACCCTGGATTTAATCCCTGGTACAAAAAGAGAGAGAGAGAGAGAGAGAGAGAGAGAGAATGAATAAAAAGCTATTCTTCCAATCACTTTTAGTAAGAAGCAAAACTTGGTTAAGAGATGCACAGGACAAAATTCATAGTGATGAATGATGGAAGAATCTGGATGCTACCGCAGCCAGATAGCTCTCACTCAACTGCTATGTGAGAGCTATCTTAATTTTAAACCTTAATTTTATCCTCAAAGAAAATTTGGAAGGGAGAACCTAAAGGCCTATCTACCCATGTAGTGTGGAACCACCAACCGCCCCTTCCCCCAGGGCCTGTACCATGATGCTGGTGACTGGTTCTACTGAAGGCCATCCGGCCTTGCCACAAGGCAGAGGCAGGGGGCTCTCTTTTAATACAGTATTGAATAGTTCAAGTTTGTTTTTTACTTATTTATTTTATTCTTTTATTTTTAGTTGTAGTTGGACGAAATACCTTTATTTTATTATTTATCTTTATCGAACCCAGGGCCGTACACATGCTAGGTGAGTGCTCTATTGCTGAGCCACAACCCCAGCCCCTCAAATAAGTTTCTTTAAAGTGTCTTAGTCCTGTGTCCTCTCCTCCACAACAGTGAGCACCACTTTTCTGCACACAGTAAGTGCTCAACTAACACCTACCAGTGAGCTGATGGAGTTAGGAGGTGTCTCATGGAAAATCCAACCCTCAATTTTTTCAAGAAAACTTCCTAAAAGAGTAATTTCAAAAGGGAAAGGGAAACACTTACTCTATAAAGCCATGATCCTTTAGAATGGAAATCTTTTTGTTCATCTGTTTATCAGTTGATGGAAGATATTTAACAAGTGTATCTGCATTAAAAAAAAAAATTCATACAGAAATTTAGGGTATAATTCCCACAAAAGTGTATCTTCCCTCTCCATCTGCACTTACTTTCCTTCCCATTAGGATCAAGTATGAACAGTTTTTCCTAAGTCAAGGAAGGAAATCTACTCTTCAAGTCCAATTCACTGAGATCATTATTTAGTCCCTGAAAAACTGTAAGAATTCCAAGGCCTCAGGACAGAACACCCACAAGCTGAGTTCATGTTCCCATTAAGTCAATCAATGAACAAAACCAGGTCATTAAGACATGGTAATAACTTGGAAAACCACAACCAACAAAACATAGGCCCTGTAAAAACATGAGAGAAGTCTTGTAACAAGAGTTTTTAAAAGGCAGAATTCAAATAGCATAATAATGACTGGTTGCAATTACAAAAAAAATGCAAATATGTAAAAATTGACAGTTATTTGGAGAATAGGACAGGGTAAGAAGGGTTTTTTTCTTTCTATGGTTGTAGGGCCTAGCATATATTAGGCAAGTGCTCTACTACTGGATTGTACCCAAAGCCCTTTCTTTATTTTTTAACAAAAATGTGATTTTTCTTCAAATTAATTTATTTGAAAACTATCATTTCATAGCCATCAATATTAAAGTTATGAGGATTCTGAAACATGAGCCAACCTCAAAGCAAGTTTTCCAACAGACTCTGCAAGGCCCAATTTTAGTTGTTTTATTTATATTTTGAGGAGTATTATTAGTCTGTGTAAAGGATGCAAAGTATAACCTTCACCATTTCTATGTCCCTTTCAACTYACACATGACTACTTCAAATTATCTACTGGGGAAATCTCTAGACATTTCTTCATGACCTCCAAACCACCACTACTACTTCAGAAGAAAAACAAAAATCAGCCTTCTATGTACTATTTCAAATACTAAATTTGGAATTTTCACATCATAAATTTAATGACTAAATTATTATTTTAAAATATTATCATCAATGACAATGGCTAGTTAGCAGACCACAAAAGAATACAAGTGAAATCAATTTTTTTTAACCATGGCATTAATCTCCAAACATAGGATTACATATTACACTTATCTCTTTGATTAACACAGTATCTTAACATTTTCATTCCCTGCTTTCTAAACCTATCTTCAGTAACAAGGCTTCAGTACAAATATTTCCATTTCCTTCCATCTAATAATACTATGCTTATCTCCTTAGAAATCTTCCTTTCCTTTTGCATTGTCCAATATGGTGGCCACTAGTCAGAAATGGCTTTCAACCACTTGAGATGTGACTTCCCTTACTAAGGAATGAATTTTAAATATTCATTTAATTGTAAGCAATTTAAATTGAAACAGCTCCATGCACCCAGTGGTCCCTGTATGGACTGTGTAGGTCTAGGTTTCTTCCAGTATAGGCCTCTGACCTAGTGCAATAAAACTCTGCTCAGTTCTTACCCACTTTATCAACCAAAGCTTTACTGTTTTGAGTTCAATACTGAAACTGTACAGTTAGAACGAATAGGGCTAGCTCTACCCAGGATAAAGTAAATGATGTGTAGGTATGTTTCAAGGTTTTACTATTTTAATAAAACTCAAAATAACAACATATCCAAGTGGGACAAAAAATTGTCTTAATAAAARAAGCAAAATTGATTCCAACCTCTTGAGACATAAACACAAGCATGAGGATTGCAGGGGGAAACAAAGCCATACTCCAGCAGCAGCCGCTGGTTGTCGTGTGGGCCATAGCAGATGAATACCTCCTCGTGCTTTCTACAACCGGAAGCTGTTCTAATTTCATAACAACGAGTCTTCTCATTAAATGCTGCATTTACCTAGAATGGAAATTTGTTAGAGATTATTTTAAATATAAAACCAAAAAGCTGAGCTGTGGCCTCTGTCATAAGTTATTTTTGGGTAATCCTTTAAAACTGTACTAACTACTCTTAGAAGCTCAGGAACCCAGGCCACACACCCACAAACAGCAGTTCGTGGTCTTCCTACAGTAGTCTATAAAATCACTGCTTTGAAGCATAAATGCACCAAAAGCCCCATCAAAATAAAGTCACGCCAATGGGTAGTGACTGAGTCCCTAAGTCCAGCATCCTACGACACTACACACGCTGGCATTATTCGTATATATCAACAGAAACACCCCTCTGACCCCTGACCCCTGTGGGTCACACTGTGGAAAAAGCATCTTTCTGTAACAGTAATAATCGGACAGGCCAGGCATTGTCCTGGGCCTGAGCAAGCACAGCAGGCCTTCCCAATCTCCGCTCACTGGCACCTCTGATGTTCTCGTGGACGCATGTCACATCAAGAGACGAGCACAAGCAGAGCCAGCCATGCGCCTGCACAGTGCATCCCTCGTGCACCCCTCACCCACAGGCAAGCCCACTGATGAACTCCTCTCCACCCTGAAAGTCAGCCCTTTACCTCAGCATACCCATTTACCCTGCAGACACACCCATCTCCCATACCTGCCACCAAGGGAAAGGGCAGGGAAAGAGGGTATCTGTGACTCTGTGGCTATCTCCCAAAGCAGGATTCTTCATGATTTCCTGACTCCTTTCCCCACAAATATTCATCTATTTAATAAAAGTTTACCAAACATCTATTATATGCCAAACTCTGCCCTAAGCCCTGGGGTTCCAAAGAGAACAAAAAGTCCCCATCCACAAAGATTTTGGTGCTTAATGCAGGAAGGAGGAGTCCCTCAGTGATCAGAGCAAAGGTTAATGCTCTGACAGCCGTGCCACCAAGTGCAAAAGGGATGGGACAGGAAAGAAGCTAGACCTCGGCTCTGGTCTAGAAGGAACATGAAGGAAGGAGGACTCGAGCTGCTGGTAAAGGTAGCCTAGAGGATGGAGCCCAGGGCTCCTGAGGCCTGGACAGCAAAACGGAGAAATGGGGCAAAGAAAACGCATTCCAGAAGGACAATGGAGTCAAAAAGAAAAACCCAGAATGCACGAAAGGCAGGTGGGTCCCACGGATTTACCCGAAGTCAGCTACACTTTCCCCATTGGTCTCRATCACTATTCAAAGTCCCAGGTTCTACACACAGAAATCTTCCTATCAAAACAGACATGTGTCACCATGTCAGCTTCTCACCTGGACGTGAGGGCTGTGATTCAACAAATCCAGGTATGGAGCAAGCGCACAGGTGTCCGGCCCTGCAGAAAGGCATTCCTGCTTCCTAGGCCTCAGGTACACAGCTCGGGTGTTGACAGTGCACCAGGCCCACAGGAGGGCGCTGTAGCTGAAGATGCTGTCAATGGGCTCTGCAAACAGAGGCTGCAGGGAAGAGAAAAAGCCTCTGGAGGAGGTGAAAAGCTTCTGCACATGGGCTCGCTGCTCTTCAGTCTTTGCTTTTAACCCTTTGGGTAGAAGATTCACCACTTCTGGCTCCAAACAAACAGGGCAGGTGTAGGTCTTGGGTAAAATCTGCAAGTAAGGCTTCCAGAGAGACCGGTCCCCAGCATGCCTTTCTGACACTAAAAAGGTGCACAGAGCCAGCAGAGGAGATGGACAAGGCTTCCACCTTGAAAAATTAAGGTCAGATTGAAGGAGTTACTCTGACTTGAAATATGGAATAAGCTAAGTACTTTGGTTTGCTGCAGGGAGAACTGTGCTCCAACGGTCGACACACCCTATGCTGACTTAACACCCCAAGAGCCGTCTCCTTCCTTAAGGCTCTTCTCCAAAGCACATCCTGGCCAGGGACCTCAAAAAGCCACATTTATGTGTCAGAAAAGCTGACTCTACAGATTTCAGGACTGTTTACAAGATTTTTTACATGTTTTTGAAAACAAAAATCAATAAAACACCTCTTTGCTTCCAATTTTGTTCTCCTGTTTGAAAGCTTCTGCCATAAGCCCATTGGTTTCACCTGGATAAGGGTATAGAATACAGTGGGGAAAAAAATGGTGGGAAAAAAAACCTAGACGTATACCATCCAATATAGGGACCATAGGTATATGTAGCTGTTTATTTAGAATTAAATTAATATTTAAAATTCAGTTCCTTTGTATAGTAAGTCACATTTCAAGTACTCAAAAGCCATTTCTGCCAGTGGCTACCATTTTAGACAATGCAAAATAAAACACCTCTGTCATTGCCCAGCATTCTACAGGATGGCACTGAGTGAAATCATAATACACTCACTAAACTTACGAGCTTTGTTAGAAATTACATAATTTTCATTAAATAATTACTGATAAAATATCTCATGTGGCATGAATGTGTTTAGAAAAAGTTATCATTAATCTTTTAATATCCAAATACCAGATTCTTATACTGAGATGCATTCCACCTAAAACTAAAGAATGAATGATAAAAGGTTAACCCTAAGGGCAACCTTGCCCCCAGTCAGCCAATACAAAGATGCRAGGGCGGGTGCCCAGAGCTGTCCTTAGGATTAAGCAACAGCACAACCTTTCAACCCATAATGTAGAAACTCCTTCCATTGAGGTGCACCCAAACAAATGCCCACCAGAAATGAGCCAGAAAATACTCTCAGCTTTCTTAACTCCCACTTCACTTCCTCTCTATACCTAAAGAGAATTAATTCTTTCATAATATTAAAGCTCTTCATAGTTGAGGAAGAATTCAAGCACATAAAAATAAGGGTTAAACCAAAAGAAAGGATACCTACTATGACCAAGGGAACAACTGCTACCTATCAAGGCACTTGGCTGTGATTTACATATATAGTCCCACTTAACCTCCACTTTCTAGTTAGGTGATGGGTCAGGACTCACACCTGTGTCCCCTGCAGTCTATTATTAAAGACTTCGAAATGCAGTTTATATGCAGGAAGAATAAACTTCTAGGACAGAATATACCTTTCAATTTGCATTCAATTGAGTTCAGATATTTATCTTCTAGACAAGCATCTGGATTCTACTGAACTGTGCCTTGGATAACACATTTGCCATGACAAAGGCATTCAGGAGAAACACTGGCACCAGATCAACATGATGTGGCCACTTACTTAGTAATGTACACCCCTAAGTAGCTTCGAATCACTGTTTCCGTGGTGAGCAGGCAACTCTCAGGCAATGAAATAATCATCTGTCCCTCCTTGCCAAAAAGAAAATAAAGTTTAGGACACCAGTATTTTGGGATGGACTTGTACATATTGTGAAGTCACTGATCCCGCAATCATCTACCCAAAAGCCCCTACTACTCGCCACAAATAAGCCCAACAGCAGGCTCACTCCCAATTCCCTGAGTCAGCAGATGAGTCTGCTCSAACACTAGTTCAACAACCACACAGAATTAAAAGTTCCGAATGGGAATGACTCCCACCTGTCAAACCGGCACAGGAAGGAAACAGGGAAACACTTGAAACCATATAGTTCTTCTAATTTCTTATGTGAGGAACCAGTGATACCCGGGGGCACAGGMACAAACCACTCAAAAAAGTTCCATCCAACAAAGCCTGGCACAGCAGCATGCTGCTTAGTTTCAACTATTCAGGAGGCAGAGACAGAGGATCAACTGAGCCCAGGAGTTTGGCACCAGCCTGGGAAACATAATGAGACCCCTTTTTCTTAAAAAAAAAAAAAAAAAAAAAAAACTATCCAGTGAAATCCAAGTGAGCAGGCAATGGCCTAATCTCTGAGATCTGTGCCAGAGAAGGCAGCCCAGCACACAGATTCTCATTCTACCACTTGCAAAAGTGTCTATTGCAGTTTCTCTTACTAAGATACAACCACAGAGAGAAAAAATGAAGACAAAAAGTAACAAACAGGCACTGGACACTGGAGACACTGGTAGTGTACAACATTATGGAACCAGTAACAATCACCAAATAGAGCACTAAGAAGCAGATAGAAGAGCCTGCCTTCATTTTAACCAGCATCAGTAATTTAACCAGTCAGTAAATATCTCAAAGCTCTTTGGGGTTCAATTTATGGTTTCTGAATCTATAAAGCAGGTGATCAGTGTAGACATCCCATGATCTTCTACTTTAAAAAATAAATAAATAAAACATCCTATATCTTGATTGGTAAATATCTCTTTAACAAATAAATTCTCCAGGCTATACAGTTAAGATCTGTGCATTTCACTATATGTAAAATGTCTCTACTTTTCAAAAAGTTTAATTAAAAAGTCACAGTTGAAAGTACAAATGAAGCAACTACCAATTATTGTTTAATAATTTCAACAAAAACTACTTATAGATACTGCTATATATATGAGAGGTCTATTTCTTCTACTCAAATTCTGCTTCAAATAAGTCAAGGCATAATTGACTTATTATGCCTTTCTGAAAATATACAAAATAATGTGCAACAATGTGAATATACTTAACACTACTGAACTGTACATGAAAAATGGTCCAAATGGCAAAGTAAGTTTTATATATCTTACCACCATTAAAAATTGAAAACTAATAAAAATATAAAAGCAGCACAATAGAATTACAACATCGAAAGGTATCGTTTTCTTAGCTGAGTTTAAAACAAATTAAATAAAGGAATTAAAAATAAATTTAGGGTCAGGAGATGTAGCTCAGGGGTTGAGGGAGGCTTTGCATATAAAAATACACAACACCAAAAAAAAAAAAAGTTTAGATAAACTTAAGGTAAAGGAAGCAATTAATTTCTAACTTTAAAGAAAAGCATGCATCACATAATGCTCTAAAATATCACAGAGAAAAACTAAAAGGGACCTAAAGATCATCTCCTTATTTACCAGGTAAGGAAACAGAAGCAGGAAGGACTGGAATCTCGTTGCCAGTCCCAGAGTTGGCAGCAACCCCTGGATCAGGCCTTGTCCCCAACTTGCTCAGGCTCTCCTCCCGTACCACGAACAGCACCCCACACACATCTACAGTATGACCTGATTTTTAAACCTTGATGTGGTGAAGCATGAGGAGAGGCCTACACCAAAATGACTTCTCTCTTTCTTCTCCTAACAAAGTCCCATTTAAAGAGCAAGRGGCCAAAGAAAAGGCAGCAGGTTTTTCCCTCCCAAGTAGCCATCAGGCGGAGCAACAGAACACTGGCCAATGGGGGCGGGACACTGGGAACATCCTTCCAGGGAGGGTCCCTGCACTGCCTTTCCCCCTTGCTCCCTCCTTTTGCTCCAGGAGCCTGGACAGGCTTAGGGAGGGACAGAGAGCTAGAAGGAGTCTGAGCCTCTGAAGGCCACAGGTCTGGCCCCTCTAGGCTTTATTAAATGACAGCAAAATACACTTGTGCACTGTTTTTAAGCACTGAGACACTCGGTTTTGTCTTTTATATGAAGCAAACTTAACCCTACTTGACGGAATCGTAAGAGAAATAGTTATAAGTAAAGTACTTTTGATTCACTTGATTTGAACCATAAAAACAAAGCACCAAAATCTGTGTTAGGTTTCAAGGACAAAAGAGAAGTTCTCACCCGCAGGGGTGTTCTGCTCATCAGCCCTCTTCCTGTACCTARGAAAGCAAACATGGAAAAGAGGTGAATATCTTCAACTGTATCTTCAAGGTCCTAGAGAGCCCATTTTGAAAGAAAAATGTGAATGAGCTCCAAAATTACAAAAAGCTGAAGATGGGTGTCCTTAGCCCTCCACTCCCAAGGGAGAGGAGGTTAGGAAGCTATCCTAGAAAACATCATGAACTCCTTATGATATTATAATCAATCTGATAATGTGGCTTTCACAGATCATTCTTTGACTCCCCAAAACAGAAAATTAAACATGCTGTTAGAGCTAGCAGAAACCCTGATACAAAACAACTAGGTCAAAGTTGTCAGAACCAAAATGGAGTTAACTTGTGCCATGAAGGAAGGGTCCTCACACTTGATTGCCTGACAATAACAACTGTCACAAAAGATTCTGCCACAACCACAACCTCAAACAAAAATACTTCTGTGAGGATAACTGCCAGCAATTGTCTGTTCAACCTTGGAATGATGCCACCCTTGTTATTGATCCTTACAGCCAACAAAAATTGTTCATTTATCTTACCCAAACCTTCTTATTCACCTTTAAAAACCCTTATCTTCCTCTGCCTCCCTGGACATGCCAGTAGTTCACTATGGCCTGCCATTCCTGATTACACTGTTTTGGAGCCCCTCTCTGTTGTTATTAACTCAAATCAAGCAATTTAGTCCAAACTCACCACATGTGGCTGATTCTTGGGGAACAACATATCATTTCACTTGGCCAGAGGCACACACAGAAATCATCTATCTTGGGAGACACAGAGGAACTTATTTTGCTCAAAGTCAAATTAAAACTGAATGATAATGTTAATGGCCAGAGGAAGCATTCAGTAACATATACTTTTACATTTTCTATAAGGTAAAATGTCTGTATCCTGCCCTGTGATATAGAATTTCAGGGCCCTTCTATCACACAACTCCTTCTCTATACTGTGGCAGATCCCAAGTACCTTTGAAGGGCATCTTGGTGTATTCTACCATTATTTCTAGCCCACCCATGGGCACAGCAGGGTATCCTTGTATGCAGGTATGCACTAATAGCAAGCTATCCAACTTCTGTGACAGAATGTTCCAGAAGAAAATTACAATCTAACCTCCACAATGAGCTCTTCAATTCCCATATCAGAGGTTAAAATGCCTCAGCTCAGGTGACTGTGCAGCCTGAAGCACTGATCAACTGGCCATTCACCAGCTCCTCCTCCAAGACACTGAACTATACACCTGACACCAAGCTGAGGGACAATATGGACTGAGGGCCCTCCCTCGCCTACAGAAAACTATGCCACCTCACTGGGGCCAGGGATAATCCCATTAGCCTGCATGCTTGAAAAATCCCAGGAAACCACCACAGCCAAGGTGACCAGCACACGGGTCACCCAGTATCTTTCCTATGATGCCTAGCTAGGCATTCCCTGCAGGTCGGGGTCCAGGGCACCTGCACTTCCACTGAACAGACAACTAGATTTAGTGCACAGGAGACCCAGAGTCACGGTACTGGTCCTGTCAATACCAGAGAATCTGGCTCAGTTGAATTTGTAGCTCCCCTCCCACAGGTGTGTAACATATCATAATTGTGTCTTTTATGTCCCTGTCCAAGACTTCATCTTATTTTTATATTCTCATTCTCCTTTTCCTTTTGATTTCATCATTCTGTCATTTCCCTTCACCTACCACGTACATTTATATTTACAACAAGATGAAGCACAAACAGTGTAGACAAGTCAAGAAGCCCACCACCCAGCAACAGATGTACTATCAGAGAGCGCTCCACCCACACCCATCTGAGAGAGGTAAGCAGAGCKGAAGCACAACTCTTACCTGGAAAATGAGCAGGAATTAAGTTCCTATCTTCAAACTTCCTGTTTTTCAGCCACTTCTTTAGCTCTATAAATTCAGACTTGTAGCTCTCATTCACTGGTTGGGAGAGGAAAAAACATGCTCATTAAAATTACTATATACTGAGAACACCTATAATCAAGAATATCAGACGGACTGATCATAAAAGGTTTAACATCAACTAAAACAGAAAGACCATTCACTATATGATCATCTCCATAGATGCATAAAAGCATTTCATCAAGTCCAACATCCATCCTGACAAAAATTCTAAGCAAACCTAACACAAGGAAACTTCCTCAGCCCAGGAAATAATATCTAACAAGGACACAATGGTGACAAACTCAGTGCTTTCAAGACCAAGAGAAGCGTATCTCACCTCTCCCTTTTCATCAACACCAGTATATGTGGCAAGAAAAACAAACAGAAGGAATGAAACAGGAAAAAAGTAGTAAACCTGTCCTTATTCTCAGAAGAAATGAGCACCCATAGAGAAAATCTAAGGGGAGTCTACAAAAAAGCAACCAACTAGCCAGGCATGGTAGCACACACCCAAAATACCAGCTACTATCGAGGCTGAGATGGGAGAATTGCAAGTTTGAGGCCATCYTAGGCAATACAAAGAGATACAATCTCAAAACTATGAAATATAATAAAATACAAATACCAAAATATTATGTTGCAGCATATCAAATCAATTCATAAAAATTCAATGGTATCTCTACATATGAGCAATAAACAAAAATTAATATTAAAAATATCATATGAAATAGCATCAAAAAATATATAATTCAAGAACCTAAAAAACAGATAAATCTAAAAAAATGAAGACCTGCACAATAAGAACTTCAAAATATTACAATTAAAAATATATAAATAAATAGACTCTTATAAATTGAATATTATTGCCCTCCCAAAATGAGTATGTTAAAGTCCTGTCCAACAGTATTTGAAGATGGAGCCTTAGGGAGTTCAGGTTATCAGGTCAGGAAGTCGTGAGGGTGGGGCCTTTACCAAGGGATCCCTGCTCTTACAAGAAGCAAAGAAAGAGGACTGAGGGTGTAGCTCAGTGACAGAGTGCGTTTACCATGTGTGAGGCTATGGGTTCCATCCCCCAACACTAAAAAGGAGGGACAGAGATGGTCTGCCATGTGCAGACAGTGGTGATGCAGATGGTCACCAGCCAGGAAGACAGCACTCACCAGGAACCAAATAAGCAACACCTTCACCTGAGGTTTCCCAGCCTCTACTACTAAGATATAAATTTATATTGCTGAAGCCCATTCTATGGTATGTTGTTATGGTAACCCAAGCTGATAAAGACCAAGAATGAAATAGATTCTAATCAAGTTAAGACACATATGGTACACCCTAGAACAATAACTAAGGAAATAATCCAGAACAACAAAATGAAAAAACAATAAAGAAATGAAAACAGTTCACTAGAAAATGCTGATTTCATACAAAAGAAAACAGTATAGAAGAAGTACTGGAACAAAAGCAAAGATAGGAGACACACAGAAAACAAAATGCAAAGTGGCAAATGTAAATCCACATCTATCAATAACACCAAATGTCAATGGATTAGGAAATTTGGGGAAAAGCAGAGTTTGGTAGGCTAGATAAAAACAAAATTCAAGTATATCCTGTCAACAGAGACATTCAGATAATGCAAGTAAAGGATAGAAAGCCCCAGAGGATGCACAGCACCTAGGAAGCAGAAGTGACTACTCCAACAAAAGACCAGAAAGACTTTCAAGCAAAAGTCAGTAGAGAGAGACATTTATAACAATGAAGGGGTTCATCCATCAGGAAGACATAACAATTACACACAGATAGAAACCAAACAGCAGAGCCCCAAATATTGAAGCAAAAACTGGAAGAATTAGAGGGAACAGTTGACAATTCTACAATAATCACTAGAGACTTGAAGATCCCGCTCTCAATAATGGGTAGTTAAGCAGAGGATCAACAAGGAAGGAGAGAGAGCACAAGGACCCAGCAGAATGGAAGGAGAGCTGCTAAACACATTACCCACAGCAGCAGAAAGTGCATTTCTCTTAAATGCACAAGAAGCATTCAGGATAGATCACATTACAGACCAACAAAAGTTGGCAAAACTGGGACTCTCCCAAACTGCTATGGGAGTATAAAATATACAATCACTTGAGAAACTCGCCCATGCTGCAGTTTCTTACAAGTTAGAAAGAAATTCCCACCTCCACTCCTGCCTATGTAGTTATTCAAGGAAACAAAGGCWTAAGTCCATGCAAAGACTTGCACACAAGTGTTTGCAGCAACTTCACTTGCAATGGCCCAAAACACAAATGACTCCAGTGCCCAGTTGGGGGAAGCAAAACATGAGCTCTACAGTAAGGGTCTGGGGGTCTGCAATTACTCTGGCAAAAGACACACTACCAAGAAAATAAAGACAGAATTTTATTCACCTGTACACACAGATATTCACAGAAAAATGCAACTCAAGGAGGTGGTTAAATTGTGGGGCTTCTGTACCATCTCATTAGGGTACTTTGGTGGGGGAGAAGGCACTTATGGGGATATGAATGGCCTTAGAAAGACACAGGCCCTCAGAAGAGATGAGAAATATGATAGTCTTATGATGATACTTATTAAGGTGACTTCTCATCCCAGTGCCAGGTTCTCATCTCTAGTGATAGGAATCAATCTTCTCAACTTCCAAAACTTCTGGGCAGAATCATGACCAGTGAACACCACTCAGAGGCTTTGATTTTAAATAACAAGTGAATGAACTCAAGGAAAAAAGAAAAACTTACACATATACAATATATTATACATCCTTCCATCATCAACAGGATGAACAAACAATAAAGGCATTCAACAATAAAAGAGAAAGAACGAATATAAATAACAATGTGAAATTATTTCAAAATAAAATAAACCACATTTTTAAGAACAGGACACACTGTGTGATTCTAGTTACACCCAACTCTATAAAATGCAAACTAATCCATTGTGACAGCAAGTATTTAAGAAGTTACTCAAGATGTGGGTTACAGAGGGTTCAGCCAGGGATGGTAGGAAGTGATTATTAAAAAAAAAAAAAATGGAGGGCCGGGGTTGTAGCTCAGTGGTAGAACGTTTGCCTCTCATACGTGAGGCACTGGGTTTCATCCTCAGCACCACATAAATAAAGGTATTATGTCCATCTACAGCTAAGAATATTTTTTAAAAAATGGAAATTTTATAGCATAATGACTTCATTTATGATACACATACCAAATTATATACTTTAATTATACAATATTCATTATGAGAATTATACCTCAGTAAAATCTTTTTTAAAAATGCACAGGCATGGTTGGGGCTGTAGCTCAGTGGTAGAGCGCCTGCCTCGCATTGTGAGGAACAGGTTCGATCCTCAGTACCACATAAAAATAAAGATTATGTCCAACTACAGCTAAAAAAAAAAAAATGCAAATGCTAAGCCTTCCAACGTACGTAATCAACAAACAAGGAAATAGATCTTGTGGTAAGAGCAATAAATTAACAAGCATAATCATTTTTTATGTGTTTATTTTGAAATGTGGTAGCACTGTGTTGCCTAAGTTGGCACTGAGCTCCTGGGCTCAAGTGGTTACCCACTCAGCCTCCCAACAGCTGGAACTATAGGTACCCACCAGTATGTCAGGTTAAATGAGAAATTTTTTATTTTTAAGTTATAGTTGGACACAATACCTTTATTTTATTTATTTTTATGTGGTGCTGAGACTCAAACCCAGAGCCTCGCACTTGCTAGGAGAGCGCTCTACCGCTGAGCCACAACCCAGCCCTTAAATGAGAATTTAATGAGCAACTTTACACACATAAATACACACAGATAAAGACACAGCTTTATGGTAGCCTCTATGAAAAAAACATACACCATATTGCTGACCCTCAAAAACTAGTCCGGTTTGGAAACAAGAGTTTCAGGAGAAAGCTTGGAAAAATATTAGATCCTCAAAGAAGCGTACACCTAATAAGGATGATTGCAAAGACTAATGTCAATGACTAGTAGAAAGAGCATTTTCAAAAATATAGGACCTCAGCTCAGTTCTCAGCACAGGAGAGAAGGCAAACAAGCTGGGAGAAGGAGAGGAGACGTTCTAGGCTAAGGAGAGAGATCGGCAGAGCTGGAAGTGTGGGGCCCCAGAAGAGGTGAGCAGAGATGACGTAGTTCCAGGATATTGAGCAGCCAAATTGGAGCTCCACTGGTGAGAGACACGAGTGCCAGGCAGGAGGTGAGATCTCACACAAAAGGCATGAGGATCCCACGACACACCTAACCAAACAGGCAACACAGACATAATCCCTCAGGAAAGCTGCACCAACAGTGACAAGTAGACAGCAAAAGAGGATGGAGGCAAAGGAGCGGYGGAAATCATCCCGGGGGCAAAGGTAGAATGGGAACAAAGCTAAGAGAGATTTAGTTGGCCACAGGCTATGGAGGGCCAAGAAGCTTGAGGAGGCAGCGATTGCCTCAAAATGGTGCTGACATGCTTAGGGTCAACTAGGAAGAGTGTAACTAATTTTATACAGAAACGACTTACATTTAAACAGCACTTTTAAGTTGTCCAAGCACTTGCACATACTGTATCTCCTTCAGGCTGGTTACATAGATTGGGAGTGATGAATTTACACCCACACTTTTATACCCTACACATACCTAAGGTCATGGCAAGCCACAGATCCTGGGTCATCCCAGAGAAAACTACTGAAGCAATAACTGAAATATATTCATATAGTCCCCAGGGTTGGAAAGAATACAAGAGCACCATTTTAAAAAAATGCTCTTTAAGAAACAGTACTTTGGAACAATATCTATCTACATGGCTTTGAGAAAAGCTATGTACATCACTGGACGCTAGACAAAAAGGAGTTCTGTTTTACTAATAAAAAAACCAAAACCATACCTCCTCTTGATTCAGAACTTCTGAGGTGTTTTCGCCTCCTGATCCGGCTTGTTCTCCCTCTTCCCTTCTGCATACTAAACTGGAGTTTCTGTGTAGGTGCCCAGCCTAAAATACAAAGCCRGTCTTTGTCTTACTTTCCAGCTGCATGACAGTCACCACCCTTGCACTGCTGAATATGCGAACGTACATTTGGGTAAGCTGTTTCTCTAATGTGCTTTTTGTTCAGGAAATGTTTGTGCCATGAGCTAAATCAAGATCTCTTCCATAAAGGAGACCCCATCATATGGGTCCCTCTGAAACAGTTTCAGCTTGAGGCCTTAGTAAATGTTGATTAATGACAGAAAACTTCATAACTGATTTTTTTTTTTTTTTTTTTTTTTTGGTATTGAGGACTAAAGCCCTTTTTTGTATTTCATTAAGGCAGAGTCTCAGTAAGTTACTTAGCATCTTAACTGTTGCTGAGGCTGGCTCTGAACTAGAGATCCTCCTGCCCCAGCATCTGGAGCCACTGGGATTACAGGTGTGTGTCACCATGCCTGGCTCATAAACAGGTGCTTTGGTGACCTGTAAGATCTCTATTTTTTCTTACAACTGCTTATATTTTATCATTACCTCATTAAAAATTTCCATTGGAAAATCACCTTGAAAGGGCAACATAGTTAGAATCGGCTCTGTGCAAAAGACTTTCGGGCAATGATGCAAATACCTTATTTCTGGACTGCCCAATACAGTGGTCCCTGACACATGTGAATCTTGAGTACTTCCAATGTGGCTACTGAAACTGAAAACAGAATTTTTTTTTTTTTTCCTGGTACAGGGATTGAACCCAGGAGAACTTGACTACTGAGTGACATCCCAGCCCTATTTTGTATTTTATTTAGAGACAGAATCTGAGTTGCTTAGCTCCTCTCTATTGGTAAGGCTGGCTTTGAACTCCTATGATCCTCCTGCCTCAGCCTCCAGAGATGCTGGGATTACACCATGTGCCACGGTGGGCTCATAACTGATTTTATAAACGAGTGCTTTGGTGACTTGCATATCGCAGTCGTAATCAACATTTACTAAAACACCAATTTGAATTAACCATACTTAGAACGCGCAGAGCTGTGAAACTCCTGTTCCATTAAAACTCTTCGACAAATCAAAAACTTCGCTTTCAGTGGCACAGTTCTGTAATCCCAGAAAATGAGAGGACACTGGCAAGAGAATCACTCATTTGTTCGAGGCCAGCCTCACCAACTGAACCCCATCTTAAAATTTAAAATAATAACAATAAAAAGCGCTGGGGGTGTAGCGCCATGGTAAAGAATCCCTAGGCTTATACCCAATACCAAAAAAAAAGTGTAAAGTAAAACATGCGGCTTGTCTTAGCTAACACAGTCTTGGAATAAACAACTTTAAAGAGGTGTTCGCAATAGATTAGGGAGAAAACACAAGTCAAAAAAGCAGACAAGCCAAGGTGGCAAGATGAAGAGTGGCTACTAGAATTTCTACAAGCTGCTTCCATACAAGCAGCGCTCCGCGCCCCGCAGGGCTTTCCTCTAGGGCTCGGGGTGGCTCGAAGGCCCCCTGCGCACCCGCGACGCCGGGCCACCCTCCGGTCCCCGACGCGTTCCACCAGGCCCGCCGCCTGCCAGGGACACCCAGGCCGCACGCCCAAGGGAACAGCCCGCGCGTGCGCACTGCTGGGACGGGCGGCGGCCACGCACGCGCGTCTCCGCCTACGCCCAACTCAAGAGAGACCTTCCTGCAAGCCCCAGCCGCCGCCACCCGGGCAACGCGCGGCTCTGACCGGAAGTCCCACGGCTCACCCGCAAGCTCGCCACGGCCTCTGACATTGCACGGGCCCGAGGGCGACCCAACCCGCACAGTCAGAGGCTGAGAGCCACCACGCCCGCCTCTGGCCCTCGGCCGCCCAGACGTCAGTCACTCGCGGAGCCCCGCCCCTTCCCGTCGCCGGTGTGCGCGCATGCGCAGCTCCCTCGATTCGCCGGTTGCGCCCAACCTTGACCGCTGGGTTGGGGCTCGGTGTTTCGGGGGCGGCTACGACCCTCCGAGGAGCCTAGCTGCCCAGGCTTGCCCTGTGCTCCACTAGGACGCAGCTCCTAGGACGCCCCTCGCCGCCCGCAGGCCCTACCGGGCTGACGCTACCTGCTCCCCACCCCGCTCCACTCCTCCCCTCCCACGGCCGGGACACGGTCTCCGTCTCCCCACCTGTCCCGCTCCACGTGGATACCAGTTCCAGGAGACGGAGCTCCGTTTCTACCCACCACCTTGGATGTGGGCTGTGCTCAGTAAGCGGATTCCTGAAAGTACAACGTGGAAGAGGGGCTGGGTGGGAACTAACCTGGCAAATACCGCCTTGGCCAGCTGGTCAAGGTGACAGCATCCGGAATAAGTCACATAGACAGCATTTCCCTCCTGTATTCCTCCCCAAACCCATAACTCGCGTTCTTCCTTGAAAAAAAAAAGAAAAAACCAACCCCAGGATTCCTAAAATATCTTTTCTGTCATGAAAACCAAACTCTGACAGGCTGTCATAAACAGAGAGACATGACCATTAAATGCAGTGTGGTATCCTGGAGAGAGCCATTGCCAAGTAGGAATGACGCATCGAAATTTCCTTGCCAACGTACCCCATGTTGCTTAGAGGAAGGACTCTCCATTGTGGAAATGGGCTTGTCTTAGACTCAGGTCATTTGCAGTGACATTGCAATTATGCTTGAGTAAGGTGACCTTGCCCAAGGACCAGGGCGGATCCGGGTCAGGAGTATCCCGCTCCTTGGGTTTAGGGCGGTTCCAGGTTTAAGGTGTACCCTGCTGGGGATAGTGCATATCCTGCTGCCTCAGGCACACCCGATCCTAGAGTTCCTGTTGAGTTCTCTTGGGATTCAGAAAGTATTTGGGATTCAAAGCCTGGTGGAGTACGTGAATTTTGCGGCAGAACTTGGATTTCCCCAGAACGTGTTTGTAGAGGGCCGGTGTGAGTTCGGGAATAAAGAATTGCTGTTTGAATCTACAAGGCTGTGAGTGGCTCATGATTTTGTGCCCAGCCAGACTGCGGCACTGGAATAGAAAAGGGATATTAGGAGGAAAACAAGTGAAATCCAATAAAATGTGGAGCTTAGTTTTTGCAGCTGCTTCAGTATTGAGTTCTTGTGGCAAAAATACTACAGTGTTAGGTAATGTAGATATGAGCAAGGTCACTGGAAGGGACAGGGAAGATAAGCAGACCAAAGAGAGGGATCCCAAAATCTGCTATCAGAAAGGCTATAACCAGTTGTGGTCAGAATTATTGGGTCTCTTGGTAAACAGCACACCCACACTGTCAAACAGGTCTCAGGCATGCTCCCTAAACTGCAATATGTTCAAGATAACCCTAAACAAATTATCAAATAGCATTCTAATATAATTAGCATTGCAATCCCCTCCTTGCCATTGAATACATATTGTAAACCTAAGAAAACTCTATGGCAATGTAACATGGAAAAATTGACAAATAGGACAAATAGGATGGTGGGAACAAAGGGTTAAGAGAATATAAAATGAGCCTACTTTGCCAAAAAGCAATCTACCTGCAGCCTTGCCTATCCTGAGGGGTCAGGAAATGTCACATTCCTCAACAAACTGAGGCAGGGGGCCAAAAGCCTGGCAGTCAGTGTAGATAATGAATGATGGGGTTTGAGGAGATGAAGACTGGTTATCCCTGGGTTTCTAACAGCTAACCTCCTTGACAGCACTTCCCAACACAAGGCATTACCTTCTGTGCTGCTCCTTCCTGCCCTTAGGTGCTTGCTGCGCCCCTCCCCTGACTCAGGCAATGGCAAGGCCCTACTGAGGTGGWWGGCGCAAGGCGTCCATCCTCTGGAGGAGCGCAGTATGTTTCTGGGAATGGGCTGATTTGTTTTTGTATTCCTTTAATAAGTATAGTTGCGATTTCTCATATGACCATTAAGTATGAAGGAAAAATCATGACTTTCCCAATTAATGCAACTACT